ATGCACCAAAGGTCTTTGGCCCAGAAATGGCCTCCAGGGCATCATAAAAGTGCTTCGGATTCTTACTATCAGCATAAAACTGAATCTCATCTGCCTTCTTACTGAGCCAAGCATCCTGCCTCTCTCTAAGCTTCACTTGCACTTTACTTTTTTTAGTTTTATTTTTTTCTCTTATTTTTTATTTTTAGTTTCCAACATTCACTTCCACAAGATTTTGAGTTCCAAATTTTCTCCCCATCTCATCCCTCCCCCCACCCCAACATGGCATGCATTCTGAATACTCCTTCCCTTAATTTGCCCTCCCTTCTATCCCCACCTCCCCCCCCCACGGCCCTTTCTCTTATCCCTTCCCCTCTATTTTCCTGTAGGGCAGGATAGATTTTTATACCCCATTGCCTGAATATCTTATTTCCCAGTTGCATGTGAAAACACTTTTTAACATTTGTTTTTAAAACTTTGGGTTCCAAATTTTCTCCCTTCCTCCCTCCCCACCCACCCTCATTGAAAAGGCAAGCAACTCAATATAGGTTATACTTGTGTAGTCATGCAAAACATTTCCACAGTAGTGATGTTGTGAAAAACTAAGTATATTTCCCTCAATCCCATCCCACCCTCTATTTATTCTATTCTCTCTTTTGACCCTGTCCCTCCTTAGAAGTATTTGCTTCTGATTTCCCCTTTCCCACTCTGCCCTTCTCTCTATCATCCCTCTACTCTCTTATCCCTCCCCCCATTTTCCAGTAGGGTAAGACAGCTTTCCATACCCAATTGAGTGTGTATGTTATTCCCTCCTTAAGCCAAATCCAGTGAGAATAAGATTCACTCATTCCCTCTCACCTTCCCCTATTTCCCTTCCCTGTAAAAGCCTTTTCTTGCCTTGAGATAATTTACTCCATTCTATCTCTCCCTTTCTCCTTCTCCCAGTATAATCCTCTCACCCCTTAATTTTATTCTCCAGCTATCACCCCTTCATCTTCAACTCACCCTGTGCCCTCTATCATCTATCATCTATCCATCTATCCATCCATCCATCTATCCATCTACCCATCTATCCATCTATCTAATTTTTTTCCCTCCAACTACCCTAATACTGACAAAGGTCTCATGAGTTACAGATGTCATCTTTCCATGCACTTCACTTTTAACGGGGTTATACACCACCTTCTTAGAAATAGATGGAATATCCTGCTGGTAAACCTTGTGGAGTTCTCGTTTTTCACTTAGCAGCTTCTGAATTTCCCCATCACTTTGTCGGACTGCTCTTGAGGTTTGCGAGTGTTCTGACCCAGATGCGCCAGTGCAGTGCTGTACCCCAAATCTCTGAAAGCTGCCTGCTCCTTTTCTGCTCCACTGTTGCCATCCATGAGTCAGCTCAGCTTTCTCTCCAAGTTAGCAACAAACTGTTGCCACTCAGAGAAGCGCTCTAATCTGTTCACATGAAGTCTTCTGGGCATTGCCTTAGCTTGGGGCCACTGTGTGTTGAATAGGAATGGTTGGCTTGGAAAGGACAAGTCTATGATTGGTTCAGCACGCAGGGCCCCACGTCCTGTCTGTCTCTTCTCCTTACAACAACCTCGTCCAGTGAATACCAATATTTGCTGTAATGGTGCATACATGAAGCTTTGTGTTTGGGGAAATGGAAGATGGTGTTGGTGATAAGGTCACGAGATAAAGTGACTGCTGCTGCTGCTGTTTCCCAATCCATTCCTCCCAAGGACTCACTGCCATGTCTGGTAGTCTGTGCCTACTCTGGACACTCTTGGCACACTGATGATGAGGGTTTCTAGGTCTTCATTAAGTTTTTCTTTGACCTCATCAGGGTTCATCACGATGGGAGCGTAGGCACTGGCAATCACATTGTCATGAGCCTGTCACTGACCCATTTTGGGAGGCATACAGGCTTGTTTACTAGATTAGTTCTGAGTGCCAAACCTACCCCAGCTTCACGGCGCTCCCCTTCATTGCGGCCCCTCCAGAAAGATGTGTATTCAGCTCCAACTTCAGTAAGCTGGCCTTCATTGGCCAGCCTTGTTTCATTCACGGCTGCTATTTGGATGTGATACCTGCCAAGTTCTTACAAGAGCCATTCCTCTTCCAGGTCTACTGGATTTTGTGTGGTCTGTAAGTGTGTGTACATTCCATGTACGGATGGTGAGTGGAATCATCTTTGCAGAACTTTTGTACACTTTTGTTTCAGTTGCAGGATTGGGTGAAGCAGACGATTTTGGGGGCACCTTTTCTAGCCCCTTCCTGATGCCAGGAGGTGTGCAGCACACTCCTTCAAAAAGGCTGCTTGGACACCTAGGGGGCAGCTGAATCCCACTGCTGCTTCTGTCCCATGAAAAGACGACCCCACGAGCTGGGCGGCCTGTGTGCGGGGTGAGGAGCACAGCTCCCAGTCTGGCCACACCTCCTGTTCTGTCACTTGCCACAGGACTCTGAGGTAGGTAAAAACGGTAGAATAGTATGGGTGGTGTCTTTTGACAGGTCTCCCCAGACTGCTCCCTTTCAATGATGGATGGCCTTTTCTCAGACCTTGTACCTCCCGACCTCCCCTCCCAGGGCTTTTGTGACTTATCTCTGGCCATTTCCCCATATCCTTCACTGACGTATCACCCGGATCCCAGTCCCTGCCTGCAAAGGTGTCCCCCAAGGCTCTCTCCTGGACCCTCTCCTCTCTCTAGACAACTTCACTTGATCTCATGAGCTCCCCTGGGTCCGATGATCATCTCCGCATATGATTCCCAGACATATCTCTAGATTCAGCCCTAAGGCTCCCAACTTGACCAATCCACTTGGTCAATTCAGCGTGATCAAAACCACTCTCATTCCCTTTCCTCCAAACTCATCGTCTCCTGTGGAAGGCAGGCAGCCCCCCACCCCTTCCCCATCCACCACTTTTCAGTCTCTCGTTCTTCTCCCTCACCCCAAGCAGTGACCAAATCATTGCTTCTCACAAGCCCCATGTTGTCTTATCTGACCCTTCTATCCACTCACAGGTCCTCACCACCTATCTGGAGACTGGCTTCTGGATGGCTCCTCCTGCCTCCACTGTCTCCACCCCAAACCATACTCAACGTAGCTGCCAGTGATTTTTTGAAAAGGTCTGTCATCTTGTGACTCAAGGAACTTGCCTGGCTCTCCACTGCCCTAAGATCAAACTTCCCCAGCTTCTAAAACCCTTCACGACCTGATCCCAACCTATGTTCCCCAAACCGTCAGACTGGACTGTCCTCTCCCCTGCATCTGGCCATCAGCAGCCCACTCCCCCATCAAGGTCAGCACCAGGCAGAAGGCTGACCTTTCTCACCTCCCACTCTCAGAATCCACAGGACCTCAGGTAGTCTCCTCGACCAGAAGTATCTCATTTTTATTTTTCACACAGGTGCATCTCTCCTCACCCCTGGAGAGAGCGTAAGCTTTGGAGGGCAGGGCTGGGCTCATCACCTTCTCTCCTGCACCCAGCTCAGAGTAACACTAAAGCAATGCTTGCTGACTGAATCCAGACTCTTCTTGCCCCCTGCATGGCTTTGCACACATCTGTGTAGAGGCCTAGTGGTCTGGCAAAGCATCAGATGAGCCACTTTACTTTTCCTCACAGCAGGGCCAGCCCTGATTGTGAAGCTTCTCGACATCATTATGGGAATTTTAAGACAGAACCTCTCCTGCCATTATTCATTCAAGGGCAGGAGTTTTCTTCAGAGCCAGCAAGGGGGAGGGCACTATTTATCCACTGACTGTGTCTACTGGCAATATTTAGAGGGAAGTATTTGAGTTATCAGATAAATCTTTCCCTTATCAGGAGTTGCAATTCAACCCAGTAACTATTTGGCACCTACTGCATAGCAGGCACTGTGGGAAGTCACTGAATCCAGTCTCAGAGGTTGTGACCACCCTGCAGGGCACAGAACCAGAGCTCCGTGATGGGGAACAAGAGTGCAGCACCTGTCATGACAAGGAACAGGGCCGGCCCTGGGAAACAGGAGGAGCCGAACCCCTCAGAACACCTGGTGCTGGTCTGAGCAATCCACTTTGCCGGAGGGTGACATCCCAAGCACACAGGATTGTCGTGCCAAGCTCAGAACACGGCTGGCTTGCTGGGCTCTGGCCCTGGGAAACAGCTACATCTCCAAAATACTTCAACCCAATGAAGTCCGTCTCTGCCCTCGAAGAACACACAATCTCACTGGGGAAGACAACACGTGAGGGGGCGCCGCACTGCACAGTGTCTGGCCTGGAGTCGGGAAGTCCAAATCCGGCCTCAGACACTTGCTAGCTGTGTGACCCTGGGCAAGTCACGTCACCCTATCTGTCTAGTTTCCTCATCTGTAAAACGTGCTGGAGAAATGGCAAACCCCTTGGGTATGTCTGCCGAGAAAATCCCAAATGGGGTCCCAGAGTCGGATGCCACTGAGAAAACACCACCACATCAAAGGCACAGTGATCATTTTCCTTTTCCTGGGGGGCCATGAGGAGGGCAGACGAGGCTAGGAAGCCGGGTGCCATCATCAGCCCCGTTGGAGGTCAGCGTCTCGGCCCGGCCCTAGCACTTCTCCAAGGGCTGACCAGGAGCGGAGGAATCTTGGGAAGACGCAGGCGCCACGAAGGCCTCCACGGTCAGAAGGTGGCCGGGGCTTGTAGCCGACGTGGTGCATGGGACCACACACAGGGAAAGTCTCTCTGTCCAACGTGCTGCCCACAAGGCTTCTGGGGGAGCCAGCATGGGCTTGGATTTCCCTCCCAGAGCTCAGCTGCAGGGGTCTTGGAAGCTATGCTGCTTGCTGGGCCGCCAGGGGGCGCCACAATGCAACTCCAGGCCTGGACTCAGAAAGCCGCCTCTTCCTGAGTTCAAATCCAGCCTCAGCCACTTACTTACCTTGAGCAAGTCACTTCATTCTGCCTCAGTTTCCTCATTGGTGGAAACAAACCACTCCAGTATTTTTGACAAGAAAAGCCCAAGACAGAGTCAGAGCCAACGGAACAAAATGACGCAAGACACATTCTTTGAAAAGGTTTATTGATGCATCTGTCAGAGATAAAGAGAGAGGTACATACAAACTTGAGCCGCACAGCCATCGGTAGGCCCATCCTTGGCATGGCTGTGGGTGCTCTGGGCATTCACAGAGGCCTGGGGGCCTCCACCCAGGACCAGCATCTTCCTCCCTTCTTCTCGGAAATGTCTCAGGGTAAGTGGTGCCCAGGCCGACACCAGATGGGGGGCGGGAGGCACGGCCAATGCCCAGGACCCCCTCCCCAGCACTGAGGCTCTGGCTTCACCCAGATTGTCTTCCAGAGCTATTTCAATGGAATCAATGTACTTTAACCCCAAAATCCAACCACAACAAAACAAAAAGTCTGATCTACAAATGAATGCCCCTCCCCAAACGCCCCATAATACTCTTAAAATAACAGGTTCAAGCAATTAGAAAAATGACTTAGTGTGCACAGGCTGCTATCAGAACGTGGAGCCGCAGGGTGGTTCCTAAGGCCCGATTCTAGAATACAAACAGACCCCAAAGCTGGTGTAGTGTTTATTAACAAACGTCTTCTTCCTTCTGTCAGGCAGGGATATAAGGAGGGGGCGGGTCCTTTTCTGGCATCTTCACGGCCATTTCGTACGTGGGCAGGATATACTAGAGGAAGAAGAACGCGCCATTAGGTTTCCTCTCTCGCCGAAGCCCCCCCCTCCCCAGCGTCATGAGTCACGGCATAAGACCCCGAAGGGGTGTCCCACCGGGGTCCCACTCAAGCTGAAGGCATGAATCACAAAAGCAGACAGTTAACAGAGGCCTGGGTTGGACCAGGGAAGGCGGTAAGACCGCACTCCACCTTGTCCTGTCTCTGTCATCCCTCATGTCCTTGAAGAGAGGAGGCCCTGACCACACAGGCCTTATTCACTTCCCCTCTCAGGAAAAAGTGGGCACACCCCATCATTAACACTCAGGGAAGGGGCCAAGATACCCTCCAATGGTTCACCATCCACTGGGGGGAGGTGAGGCGTGCACAAAATGAGGCTGACCCCTCCTAAAACAGCAGACGGGCAGCCCGGGTTAGCCCGCCTAACAAAGTCACTCTTGGAGTGACGGCTGCCAGCGCTTGGCGTGGTGCCTGGCACAGCAGGCACTTAACAAATGTTCATGGATTGGTCGACTGATCCAGTCTGGGAAATGCCCTGCTCTGGCAGGTGGGCGAGGCTTCCTGGGGTGTATAAGCCGGGTCTTGGGGGACAATCAGGCTTTAAAGTGGGTCCAGTGCGAGACTATTAGGTACTGAGAATGGGCAGAGGAGTCTGTGGGTTAGCCAAGTAGGCAGCAATGGTCAGTGCTGGGCAGTACTGACCACTGATTCAGACAGAGGTGTGGCTGCCTTGTTTGACAGATGACCCCAAGCTGGGAGGGGCACTGGACACGACCTCCACAGGACAGAACTCTGGACTGAACCTAGCCCACTTCCCCTTCATGGGGCTAAGTCATAAACTCTCAGACTGGTGAGGCCAGTCACTGCTGGCCCAGGGCTGCTCCACAGACCACCTTCCACACTGGGCAGAGCCTGGGAGACCTCTCCTGCAGGGGGCAGTGGGCTTTCAAAGAGAGATCTGGTGAATGGACTTGGAACCTGTCTCTACAACCTGCCCTGAGCCAATCAGGTCACGTGTACGAGAGGGAGGACTTGTGAGATGTCCCGCCCCACCCCACCTGTGGAGGAGCCTCGAAGGCTGGGTACACTGCAATCTCAGGCAGGCTTCTGTTGCTGATATACTTGTAGCAATTCCAGACACAACTGATGAGATAAGCCTGAGGAGAGAAGGGAGAGCCCCCATCACAACGGGTCACGACTCCACCCTCCACCTAGAACCCAGGACCTTTCCTGGGGAAGGTGTGGCTGGCCCCGCTCCCTCCTCCCCCCACACACATCAGAGGTTCTTGGGGCCTCCCAGGGAAGGGTGGGCAGCCAGGTGCTGTCCTTGGATGTGGCCCCCACACACAAAGAGGCTAAGTCCATGCTCTGTGGACCTCTCTCGGAAGAGAGCCCAGGGTGGATGGCGGAGGGGTGTCATGACACCTAGAAGGCGTGATCACCCACTTACCTTAAAAATGATGAACAAGGTGAAAAAGACGAGGATCAGGAAGAGAAGGCAGCTGGAGTCCAGCGCCAGCAGGTCATCCTTATAGGGGAAAGGAGGCTGTGGGAAAGAAGGGGCCCATGTCTGTGAGCAGCCCCCCCCCTCGCACGCTGCCCCGCCCTGGCACCCCGGTCCGCCAAGGTGATCCTCCACTTCACAGGGCCCGGCCTCGCTGGTTCAAGTTCGGGGGGCTGAGGCCAACATCACGGGCTTCAAGTTCTGCAGGTGGGGGCCACGCCATGCCCTTCCCCCAAACCTCCGCAGGGAACAGGACAGATGAAGGGCCGCCCCCTCCCTGCCCCTCAGCAAACCCTCCTTCCTTCCTGTCTGCCCCCTCGTGTGACCCCAAATTTCATCCTGCTCTGTAAAACATGTCTCATCTCACTGGGCGGGGGGGCAGGGGCGAATCTCAGAGCCTAGCTCTGGACTTCAGGTCAGGTGTGCACCACTGTGCCTAGCACTGGGCTGGGGCCAGAGACAATAGTCATTTACCTGCTGAATGGACAAATGCACACACCTGCACATGTCTAACTGTGACCAGGCCAAAGCCATGGCACCTCGGGACCTCAGTTTCCTTTTCTACAGAGAGACGTGAGCAAGGAAGGTCCTTCCGGCCCCAGGAGTATATGCCATGACACAGACACACGCCCACCAGGTCTGTGTGGGGACGCTGCCTGCACAAAGGGCTGACCCCATCCCATGGAGGCCCCCAGCTCCTGCCTGGGTCACCAGGTAGGACTTATCCTGGGGTTTACTCCCTGAGGCTTCTCCAGGCAAAGGGTACAAGACAGGCCAAACCTGTGCCAAAATCTGACCTAAAGCTTAGCGAGAGCCAGTGAGGAAGATCTAGGAGCAGATACTCACGAGTTGATCCAGGTAATCTTTGATTTTTGGCAAATACGTGAGCGAGCTGATGGCGACCAGGCAGCTGAGGACAAAGTCAAAAAGCCGGTAGCAGAGGAACGGAATCAGCCAGCCGACACGATGCTGCCAAAGTAAGACGCGCCACATCAGGGCCCTCACGACAGGCGGGAAGACTCCAGACCCAGGAGTGCCCCTCCCTCAGCAAACTGGTAACCAGGGCAAGCACGTCCACAGCACTAGGTTTCAGTCCCGGCTCGCTCACTGGTGACCCAGAGGCCCCGGACTCGACTCCCTCCCACGTCCCTCCCAGCTCTGGGATCCCTGTTAGAGGGGCTGGGCCACAGTAATCCTATGGCCCCAAGATCCCGCCTGCAGGCACAGGCTCATTTAGGGAAAGGCCCCATCAATGCCAAATATTTGGAGCAGTTTTTGTGGAAAGAAGGGACGTGTCCCTCCCTGGGGAGAAGCTGAGCTGGCTGCGGCCCACGAGGGACAGCGGAAGGCAATAGGGGAACGCGTCCTCAAGCACAACAAGGCAGAGGGAAGGAAGAACCACAAAACAGCTTGGAGATGGGAGGGGACGCCTCCCCGCCTTCTCACTCGACGTCTCCATTAGTTTTACTAAGCTTTCTTCCTTCCCTAGAAGGGACAGCTCTGGGAGGAACACACACAGTGTGAAAACGTTGTTTCTACAGGTACCCATCAATCCCCATTAATTCCCAAGGCAGCAGCAGCCCCGGCCAGCCCCGGCGGACACTCACGGCGGCGGCTCCGTAGACCATCATGGCGCTGATCGTGAACATGAGCAGCGAGAAGGCGAAGAGGACGCAGGCGTTCTCTGCAGACAAACACATGCCAGGCAGGTCAGGCGAGGCGCTTTCTCCAGGATTCGCCCAGTCTGACGCCTCTTCACAAAATCTGTTCTCAAAGGTTTGGTTAAGGAGCAAGGCCCACAGCCTGCGCCATCCCTCCTCTTCTGCCACTACAGACCCTGCCCCGTGCCTCACCAGGGGCTCTGATTTGTTAAGATCCAGATGAAAAGCCAGATGGTACGCTTGACAGTGACCTCAGTGGCCAAGCCTTCAGGGTCCTTCATCAGAGACGGGAAGGCCTGAATTCTAATCTGGCCTTCAGACATTTACTAGGTGTGTGACCCTGGGTGAGTCACGTTCCTCAACTCTAAACCGAGGATAATAAAACACCAATCTCCCAGTCTGTGGTGAAGATCAAATGGCCTGGCACACAGTAAATGCTTAAACGTTTGTTTCCTCCCCGCCCAGAAGAGACCCCCCTCACCATTTCCTGCCTCTGGAACTCGGTCACCCCTGTACCTGGCCATCTCCCACAGCTGGATCTCTTCCCTCTCAGCAAGACTCCTGACATTCTTTTATCATTAGGATGCATTTCCGGCACACAAACCCACGACTGGTCAGACAGGACTAGGACCTAAGAAGTCTGTCCCCGTCCCTCCCTCATATCTCAGTCCAAGGCCCACAGGCTCACCAGCATGCCATGGTACCCAGAGGATGTCCTGGGGAGGACAGGACACCCTCGCTCGTGGCTCAGGCCACAGTTTGGGCCACTTCTTTCCCAGGTCCCAAGAGCTCTATGTGGCCCCTAGGGATGATCCACACAGACATTCTCCGAAAAATGCTACTTGGCAAACTAAACGTGAGAAAGCCAAAACGCCTCTGTGGCCTGGCAAAGTCCTTGGCCGACAGGAGGACTGTCCAGACACAGCGCCTACCCAGCCAAGGCCCAGCAGGCAGGAGAAGCTGCAGGAGGAAGGCTGCGGAAGCCAGCGCTGCCCCCGTCCGGGGGCACCCAACTTACCGGCCATCCTTTCCGAGGAATAGTAATTCCCGATGACTTCATACTGGAGGTTGACAGTGGCCACTGCATTGGGGTGAGTCACCTCCACAGTCAGCAGGATTCCCACCAGCAGATTTACCACCTGGAAGAGAGAGGCTCAGCTAAGCTAACACCCCCCCACCAGGCCACACAGCTTGTTTTCTATTAATATTTTAATTTTCCATTTTCAGTTCCAAATTCTCTCCTTCCAGCCTCCTCCCTGGAGAAAGTGAGAAAAATAAAACTCATGACACATGTACAGATCTGCTTCTCCCTTTAAAGAGGCCACCGGGTAGTTAGAGAATCATGTCAATGACTAGACCACTGGCTCACACCATCCAGGAACTCCTAATGGCAGCAAATCCTTGTTCTTGGAAGTTAGACTAAACTTCTGATATCAGCGTTAGAATCAGCTGAGTGGTAGGTAGTAGGAGCAGGTAGCTTATTGGGTAGAGGTGGGTGCTAAGAAGTAAGGCGACTAGGCCACTTACACACTGACTCTGAAGGCAATCTGAAAACGGGCTGGTGTGCAAGGGGAGGCGTCAGCTAAAAGATGGGTGGAAGACGGGCTCTGTGGGCAAGGCAGAGCGAAGGGTCGTGCACAAACACCAACCCTGCTGATCTGAGGGCAGGTCTGAGATACCCATGGGACAGCCAGGTGCTAACTGGGGCTCAGAAGAGAGACCTTCACGAACCCATGGAAGCTGAGAAGGTCCCCAACTGAGAGCAAACAGACAGTCCTTGCATTATGCAAATTCACATTATACAAATTTGACTTTACTTGAAGAATTCTGAAAGAAATCCACATTCCAAAAGAAATTACAAAAATTCCTTTTGCAAAGCAGCTGCTGTACAAGTGGCTGTATGTGGGGTGGGAGGCTGAGAAGTATCTCCAAGTCAGCGATGGTGAGTCCCTCCCTGTGTTCAATAGTGATCCTTATATTTTCACCATGGCTGGTAGCAAATGGGCTCCCAAGGGGAAAAGCAAATCAGCTCATAAGCATAAGTCAAAAGACTTGGAAATGAAAATAATTAGCAAAAGAAAGACCAAAACTATCATGGGGAGCACATGACCTTAGCCATGCAGGGTGGACTATGAACACCCTGGTGAAGGATGCTGGCCCGAGGAAGGAGTGTGCAGAAGGCAACGCTTGCATCAAGAAGGTAGGGGAGTAAGGTGAAGGAAGACAGGGAAGGTAGGGGGCAGGGAGGGAAACCGATTCTGAAGGACTTTGAATGCTAAACAGTATATCTGATCCTAGAGACCACAGGAAATTTGTTGAGTAGGTGGGGTGACATGGTTGGACCTGCACTTTTGAGAAATCACTTTGATGACCAAATGGAGGATAGACTGAAGTGGAGAGATCTGAGGCAGGCAAATCTCACGCCTCCCCCTCCCCCCCAAAAAAAGGTTACTATAATAGTCCAAGTGTGAAGTAATGAGGATCTGCACCAGGGTAGGGGCAGTGTCAAAGAAGAGAAAGGGGCCTACTGAGGAGATGGTGCAGAGGTGAAATCGACCAGAGATGCTGCACAGGTGAAATCAACAGGCCTTAAAGACAGCTTGGCTATGGGGTGAGGGGTGGGGGGCAGTGAGAGAATAAATAGTCAAGCAAGCCTTGGTGACTAGAAGGATGGTGGTGCCCTCATCAGTAGCAGGCAGGGATCTTTAAAAACAAGGAGGGGATGCTGAAAATGAATGGAAATGTATTAACAAATGCCCAAGAATTCGTGAAGGCCCAAGTAAGCGCTGGGCAAAGCTGGAATGAGACATGGAAAGGTAGGGTTGAGGCAGATGGGAAAATGGGCAGTGAAGGCTGGGGAGTGGGGAGAGCTTACTCTTAAGGCAGCTGGGATTCGGTATCACTGGAAATAGGAGAAGGGCTGGGAGCTGTTGAACCACCGGGAATGAGTCTGGGCAGAGTAACAAGATATGGAGTGGCTCTGCTGAAGAGGAAGATGACTGAAATGATCCCCATGCACCTCTCAGAATCCCAAATTTCCCCCCCAAGTTCAGCTTGGATACAACCTTCTGTATGAAGCCCCTTGTCCCTCCAGGTGCTGGGGACATCCCCCACAAAATTATCTTGTATTTGCTTGGAGCATCCTTATAGATGCACCTACTGCCTCCTCCAACAGAACACAAGCTTTGTGAGAAGAGGGAGGGTTTCTTTTGTGTCTTTTTACCCCCAGTGCTAAGCATACAGTAGATATTTACTTGACTAGAAAGACCAATTTGAAGACAAATTGTAGAAGGGAAAGACTAGAAGACGGAAGATTTATTAAGAATCTATTGTAAATTACAGAACACAATTAATAACACTTCTCTTTCTCTCTCTCTCTCTCTCTCTCTCTCTCACACACACACACACACACACACACACACACACACACACACACACACACACACACACCAGGTCTAAACAACCAGAGAAATAGTAATGGCTCATGGGTAGGTAGGCCAATCCAACATAATAAAAATAACAACACCACCTAAATTAATTTACTTATTCAATGCCATACCAATCAAACTACCAGAATACTATTTTATAGAGCTAGAAAAACAATAAATTTCATCTGGAGGAAAAGGTCAAGAATATTAAGGGAATCAATGGGAAAAAAAGTGGAGGAAAGTAATTTAGAAGTACCAGAGCTCCAACTATTATGAAGTGGTAATCATTAAAACAATCTGCTACCATCTAAGAAATAGAGTTGGTAGATCAATAGAACAGACTGGGTACACAACATATAGAAGTAAACGACCATAGTTATCTAGTGTTTGATAAACCCACGGTGACCTTCTCTGAGTATGTGGTGCAACATGTTGCTCTATGTCTAGTTTTGGCCTAACTGCTTTCCAGTTCTTTTTTTTAAAATTTCATTAATTTATTTTGATTTATCAACAATCACTTCCATATGCTTTTGAGTTTAAAATTTTTCTCCCCCTTCCTTCCCAACCCCTCCCCAAGATGGCACACAATCTCATATAGGCTATACATTTACATTCCTATTAAACATATTTTCACATTAGTGAAGTTGTTAAGTAAAAATTAAAACCAACAAGAGGAACCATTAGAAAGAGGAACCAAAACTCAATAGAAGAGAAAAAAAAATGATAGCAATTCAACTTCCTTAGTTCTTTCTTTGGCTGTGGACAGCATTTTCCACCACGAGGCCTCTGGGGATGTCTTAGATCCTTATATTGCTGAGAAGGGCTAAGTTTATCAATATCAGTCATCGAACAATGTGGCTATTATTGTGCACAAAGTTCTCTTGGTTCTGCTCACTGCACTCAGCATCAGACCATACAAGTCTTTCCAGGTTTTTCTGAAGTCAGCCTGTTCATCATTTCTTATAGCACAATAGTATTCCATTATGTTCATATACCACAACTTGTTCAGCCATTCCCCAACTGATGGGCATCCCCTCAATTTCCAAATCTTTGCCACCACAAAAAGAGCTGCTATAAATATTTTTGTACATGTGGGTCCTTTTCCCATTTGTATGATCTCTTTGGGATACAGCCCTAGAAGTGCTATTGCTGGGTCAAAGGATATTCACATTTTTATAGCTCTTTTGGGCATAATTCCAAAGCGCTCCCCAGAATGGCTAGATCAGTTCACAACTCTACCAACAATGTATTAGTGTTCCAATTTTTTCACATCTTCTCCAACATTTATCATTTTCATGTTTTGTCATGCTGGCCAATCTGATAGGTGTGATGTGGTACCTCAGAGTTGTTTTGATTTGCATTTCTCTAATCAATAATGATTTACAGCATTTTTTCATATGACTATAGATGGCTTTAATTTCTTCATCTGAGAACTATCTGTTCATATCCTTTGACCATTTATCAATGGGAGAATGGCTTGTAGTCTTATAAATTTGTCTTAATTCTCTATATATTTTAGAAATGAGGCCCTTATCAGAGAGACTGGTTGTAAAAATTCTTTCCCAATTTTCTACCTTCCTTCTAATCTTAGTTGCATTGGCTTTGTTTGTGCAAAACCTTTTCAATTTAATATAATCAAAATTATCTGTTTTGCTTTTCGTAATGTTCTCTATCTCCTGTTTGGTCATGAATTTTTCTGTTCTCCATAGATCTGATAGGTAAACTATTCCTTGTTCTCCCAGTTTGCTTACAGTATCAGCCTTTATATCTAAATCATGAACCCACTTTGACTTTATTTTGGTATATGGTGTGAGATTTGGGTCTATGCCTAGTTTCTGCCATACTCTTCCAGTTTTCCCAGCAGTTTTTTTCAAAGAGTGGATTCTTATCCCAGAAGCTGGAGTCTTTGGGTTTATCAAATAATAGATTACTATAGTCATTGACTACCGTGTCTTGCATATTTAACCTATTCCACTGATGCACCACTCTATTTCTTAGCCAATACCAAGCAGTTTTGATGATTGCTGCTTTATAATACAATTTAAGATCTGGAATTGCTAGGCCACCTTCCCCTGCATTTCTGCTTTCCAGTTTTCCCAGCAGTTTTTGTCAAGCGTTGAGTTCTTGCCCTATTTGCCTCAGTACAGGCAGGGGAACCAGTGGAAATGGGCTCAGAAAACCACCATGTGCCATGCATGGCATTCTCAGGCAGCCAAGTCTCCTGGTGCCTCAGCATAACTCTGGGAAGCACAATTCCAACAGGGAAAGCCCCAGGCAGAGAAATGTTCTGCAGCAGCAGAACACCCATCTGCAAGGAGCGGAAGAAAACAAAAGGAAAGGCCCCAGCACACAAAGCCAGTGACCAGGCCCCGGACTCCTAGCACAAGAAGCTTAGGTCAGCGACCCCTGCTCCCTAGCAGGAGAGCTCAATCTCTTTAAAGGCCAGGAAATAAGCAAACATCACAAGCAAAATACAATTGGCCAAGTGGAGAAGGAGGTACAAAATCTAACAGAAGAAAACAATTTGTTAAAAACTAGAATTGGGCAAATGGAAGCTAATGACTCTATGAGAGAGAGAGAGAGAGAGAGAGAGAGAGAGAGAGAGAGAGAACCAGTCAAACAGAAACAAAAAAATGAAAAAATTGATGAAAATGTAAAATACCTCACTGATAAAACAACTGACCTAGAAAACAGATCCAGGAGAGACAATT